TGGGATGGATGGACACTGTCCCCATGGGATGGATGGACACTGGGATGAATGGACACTGTCCCTATGGGATGGGTGGACACTGGGATGGACACTGTCCCCGTGGCACAGCCCTGTTCCCGGTGTCCCCGGGAGGTGCCAGCTCACTCCCTGCCCTCTCCGTGCCCTCTCCATCCCGCAGTTCCCCCCGGGAAGCCGCTGGCCCACGTTCCCAGCTCAGCCACGGTGGGTTCCCGGGCCGTTCTGCGCTGCTCCGAGGCCCAGGGCTCCCCCCCCCCAACCTTCCGCTGGTACAAGGACGGCTCCGAACTGCCCCAGGACCCCAAATCCAGCCCCACCTTCCGAAACTCCTCCTACAGCCTCGACCCCCGCTCGGGGGAGCTGGTCAGTGGGGGGGGAAGGGGGGCAATTCCCGGCCTTTTTTCTCTGACTCTCCCCCCCCCTTTTTTTCCCCTCTCCCCCTTTTCCCTGCCCTTTTCTCCCCCTTTTTCCTCCCCCTTTTCCTCCCCCTTTTCCCCTTTCCCACCCCAAATTCCCCCCTTCTCACCCTTTCCCCCTCTTTCCCCCCTCCTCCTTTTCCTTCTCTTTCCCCCCCTCCCCCTTTTTCCTCTTCCCTCCCTTTTCTCGCCCTCCTCCCTCCCTTCTCTCCCTTTTTTTCCCCTTCTTCCCTCTTTCCCCCCCTTTTCCTTTCCCCTTTCCTGCCCCAAATTCCCCCTTCCCACCCTTTACCCCTCTTCCCCCCCCTTTTCCCCCTTCCCCTCCTTTTTCCCTCCCTTTCCCCCTCCCCCTTTTCCTCCCCCTTTTCCTTTCCCCTTTTCCCCCTTCCCTCCATCCCCCTTCCTCCTTTTCCCCCTTTTCCCCCCTTTCCCACCCCCCCCCTTTTATTCCCCTTTCACCTCATTTTTCCCCCTTTTTCCCCCCTTTTCCCTCATTTTCTCCCTGGTTCCAGATCTTCGAGCCCGTGGGGGGCTGGGACACGGGGGATTATCACTGCGAGGCCTCCAACAACGTGGGATCCCCCCAGAAATCCGACGTTTTCCGCATGGAAGCGAGTAAGGCTGCAGCGGATCCCGATCCCGCCCCATTCCCGCCTGGCCCCGCCCTTTTCCAGCCCCTTTTCCAGGTGTTTTTGAGGTTCCTCCTTCCCGTTATTGCCTCGTTATCGCCTCCCGCGGGCGTTAATTACGTTAATGAGCCCTTTAATGAGCCCGCCGTGGTCTCCTGGGATAGCGGGAATGCCGCCCTTGGGAATGATAAACCTCACCCACGAGGCCAAGTTCCCGCTTGGAATTCGAGCCGGGATCCATCCCAGCCCTGCTCAGAGCCCAGAATTCCCAGGACTCCTACTGGGATCCATCCACACCCCCCCCCCCCACTCCGGCTGGATTTAACCTCATTCCCGATGGATCCAACCTCGACCCCGGCCCTGTTTGGGGCTGGGAATTCCAGGGTTCCCCCTTTCCTGCCCGGATCCAACCCCCCTCTCCAGCTGCATCCATCACTTCCCATCTGCATCCAACCTCATTCCCAGCCCCTTTTTGAGCCAGGAATTCCAGGATTTCCCCTTTCCTGCTGGGATCCGACCCCTGCAGCTTCATCCCACCTCCATCCCAGCCCCATTTGGAGCCAGGAATTCCAGGATTCCCCTTTTCCTGCTGGGATCCAACCCCTGCAGCTTGATCCCACCTCGATCCCAGTCCCTTTTTGAGCCAGGAATTCCAGGATTCCCCCCAGGATCCCACCCCTGCAGCTTCATCCCACCTTATCCCAGCCCCTTTTTGAGCTGGGAATTCCAGGGTTCCCCCTTTCCTGCCGGGATCCCCCTCTGGCTGAATCCATCACTCCCCACCCTCATCCCGCCTCCATCCCAGCCCCATTTGGAGCCAGGAACCCCAGAATTCCTACTGGGATCCCCCTCCCTGTTGGGATCCAACCCCTGCAGCTTCACTCCACCTCATTCCCAGCCTCTTTTTGAGCCGGGAATTCCAGGATTCCCCCTTTCCTTCTGGGATCCAACCCCTGCAGCTTCACCCCATCTCCATCCCAGCCCCGTTTGGAGCCGGGAACCCCAGAATTCCCACTGGGATCCCCCTCCTTGTCGGGATCCAACCCTTCTCCAGCTGCATCCATCACTTCCCATCTGCATCCCGCCTCCATCCCAGCCCCTTTTTGAGCTGGGAATTCCAGGATTCCCCCCAGGATCCCCCTTTCCTGCTGGGATCCAACCCCTCTCCAGTTGCATCCCTCACTCCCCACCCTCATCCCACCTCCATCCCAGCCCCGTTTGGAGCCAGGAACCCCAAAATTCCCCCTCTCCGTGTCCGGATCCGCCCCCCCCCCGTCCTGTCGGTCCGACTCCTGCTCCCAATCCCGATCCCAATCCCGGTTTTCCAGGCGAGGTGAACGTGGGTGGGATCGTGGCCGCCGTGGTGCTGCTCCTGCTGGTCCTGGGACTCGCTGCCTTCGGGGTCTGGTTCGCCCACAGCCGCGGCTACTTCAGCAGTGAGTGTCCCCTGAGTGTCCCCTGAGTGTCCCCAAGTGTCCCCTCCCTCCATCCTTCCCATTGTCACCCCCCTGACCCCCCTTTTTCCCGTTTTTCCAGAAAAAACAGAGTAAGTGACGCCGGAGCCGCCGCCTCCTCCTCCTCTTTGGGACGGTCCCACCCCCCCAAAAGTGTCCCCAAAGTGTCCCCTCCCTGCCCCCCCCCCATCCCCTGGGTGTCCCCAGGTGGTGACAGAGGGGACATGGAGGGGGGAGGGCACGTCCTGATCCCGGTTTTCCCACAGTTCCGGTGGGAAGAAGGTGATTTACAGCCAACCCTCCAGGCGCAG